CTTGTTAATCTGATATAAATTTGAGTAAAGGTGAAGTTAATAGTTGCGCAAGTTGACATTCTGAGTTGTATCTAATTATCAATGGAAATAAATGTGAAACATGCTTGTCAATTTACTAATAATAACGGGAAAATCGGCACCAGCCTACGCTAACTTTTTGTAATAATTACGTGAGTTAAATTTATTGAAGAGTTGGGACAACCAACTAATGTATTTAATCGAAAAATTATTGCACTCTAAACATCTTGCCGTTAACTAACGGGAGAACTCAGGTTGTGAAAACCAAAATTTGAGTTTCGGAAACATTTTTTTTAAATGGAAGGCATTTGTTAGTTATCATTAGTCCTTTAGCTGACTTCGGGCTTCACAGAAGGGAGGAACATTAAAGTGAGATAAGAATAGCGATTCATAGATGTAAAAGAGACAGACAGACACAAAGGCTCAGAAAGGGTAAGATGAGTACTGTGAAGGGGTCGAATATGACATACAGTTGGGTCATTGTAGTTTGAAGTCAAAAGTCAACTGCCAGTTAATAGACTTTTTGCCGTATGAGTATGCGTTTCCCAGGGTGCACCACGTGGAGGTAAGTGTATCTCACACCCAAATAGAACTCAATTGAGGAACTATAATAAGTCGATAAAGAATGAGCTAACTGAATACACGAGAAATCAAACTTACTAAGAAATGGAGCTTTGGTGTTTGACAAGGCAAAGTCCGGAATAAATTCTTATGCTGAATTTAACTAATTCTACTTGATTGTTCGCTTCCACTGCGTCTGTTTCTGAATATTTTCAGCCGGCAGGCTGGAACTTGGAGCCATAATCCGTCATTTCATTGGTTAGTTCGTGGCCAATAGCTGGCAAAAAACAATAGCAAACGACATTTCCAGAAGTAAAAGGCAATGAGTTGAGTAGGATAAAGTGTTTTCAATAAGCCACGATGAGACCACAAGAGAGTAAGATGGTGGTTGCGAGGAAGAGTGGAAGCCGATAAACGACAAGCGTGTACCTTCCATCCCCTCCCACCACCTCCTTTCATCTCCTCATCGCGTTGCATAGATAAGAGCTAGTTGCAGTCTTTGAATTAGCACTTAATAAGCCCATTCAACTACTGTTCTAGTCTTGAAGTATGAGGTTGCACCAGGGTCAAACAATTCCATTGACACTCTGTAGGGTTTCGGAGAATAGGGATGATCCTGCCAATTCCTTGAGAGAATCAAGTTATTGTTGGGCATAACACTACCAATTTTTCCGCTTTAAAAATGCCAGTTTCGTAACCTTATTTTGATTATCTGCATTCACTCTCACCCTCCATCTTTCGAAATCCTGCAACAAAATCCACTAGCCAAACTCTACTTATATGCAATTTATTTCATTGACTTTTACCAATGACGGCTCAACTTACCCCTACTTTAGTAAACACCCTCGCCTCTATCCCCCTTTGCCAATTTCCATTAATTAATTTCCCCTGAACGCCAATTACTTCACTCTCGGCCTCTACAGCCAGCGACTGCAATATTTGTCCAGCAAAAAATTGGGTGACACTAGTTTACTTCTGTTGCGTTTTTTGTTCAAGAATTTTTTCTTAATAGAATAAAATTGATGGTTATTTAATTGCGTTGATAATATTTAATGGTTAAAAGTATGGAGTTCCATAATAATATTTACTCAATTCAAGAAGGTGATGTCTGAAATTCTTTCATCCATCATTTTTCGCTTGTGGGATTAGCCAATTCGATAAACAATTTAGAATTGATTTGTTGGGGGGGGGGGGGGAAGAGTTAAGATATTGATTAAGTTCTGAAAATTTCAATTCTTTTCTTCCTCTGGGATTAATTTTTTCCCCCAAAGTGTTCCAACCCCAAAATAGTTATATTTGCGCTCCAACAACTCGCTTTAAGCGGACGGATCACCTGGAGTGGTACAATACGTTAAGAGTATTTGTCGTGCTACGGACACATCTGAGTAGCCAATAGGCATTTAGCATCATTCGAAACTCCTTTTCCGTCAGAGTCTGCAAATACAAACTAAACGCGACTTTATGCATTCTCACCCAGTAGATGGTGCTCCTAATTTCTCTTCCTTTTATAACACTCCTGATTAACTTTGTCCTATCACAGAGAAATCAATATCTTCCAGGACCAGTACCTACCATTTCCTTTCCTACTGATCCTCCTGAGTCAAGTTTCGATAATTCATTTATAGGTGAATACAACGTTTATGAGCCCAGAGGAGTATTTTCGGAGAATCAAGCAAATACCACTCCTCAACCAACTCCACAAAAAATAGCTCGAAAGAAGGTGCCGTCTCAAAGAGACGCTATCAAGGAAAAGATCTTTACCAACTACAAAAGTAATGAACGACCGACTGAGCAATTGGATACTTCCACCATCGTGATGGTGAATATGAAGATTCAGTCAATCTTTTCCATCGATGTTAGAACAATGGATTACTATGTGGATGCTCTTTTAAGACAAGCTTGGGTTGATCCACGTCTTGCTTGGGATAACATTCCAGAGCACAAGAATTTCACTCAGCCTTTAGTCTCACCGAACATGAAGAATATACTATGGCTACCAGATCTCTTTTTCCGAAATGGTAAAGAAGGTTACTTGCATAAAATGACTCTTCCCAATTACCTCCTTCGAGTTTATCCCAATGGTCAGGTCCTTTATAGCCAGAAGATTACAATGCGTTTTGCATGTCAAATGGACCTACAGACTTTCCCTATGGATGTTCAAGAATGTGACATTAATATTGGTTCCTATGGGTACACTCTATCAGAACTCAAGTTTGTATGGAGTGAAAGTGCTCCCATTGAGTTGAATAAGGACATGCAATTGTCTGAGTTCAACACTCCAAAAGAATTTTTCACGTCTGATTGCACATCTGCGTCTTCGACCTCTACTGGAAATTATACATGTCTTTTAGCAAAGTTTTCAATCGCCAGGAGGTTGGGATCCTATCTTGTCACAACGTACATTCCAAATATCCTCATCATCATGGTTTCCTGGTTGAGCTTCTGGGTCTCCATAGATGCTGCCCCGGCTCGTGTTCCACTTGGATTAATGTCTCTTCTCGGTATCTTAACTCAAGCATCATCGATGGGATCGAATCTTCCTCGAGTCTCCTACATCAAAGCTATCGATCTCTGGCTTATCTTCTCCATCATCTTCGTCATCAGCGTTCTCGTGGAATATGCTCTTGCAATTACCTACTTGAGAAAAACAAGGAAAGGACAATGGAGAAGTGATGTGCGAGCTATAGTGCGCGAGGAATTGGCTAAATGGTGCACAGCATGCCAACAAAGGGAGTTGAAAAGTTTGAAAGCAGCTGGTGCATTGGCACCCGGCAACCATGCAGATTATTACACTCAAATGGAAGCTATGGTAGCATTCAGAGATGTTGTTGAGCTCTATCATAAACGACGTCTTGCTAGTAATGGACATAATGGAATCAATGAGAGGATTAAGGTTATCACGGGAGTCACAGAATCTGTAATTGACGGGTACAGTCGATTCCTTTTTCCCCTGTGCTACCTAGTCTACAACGCTTGCTATTGGCTCTATTATCTCGTAATCGTCAAACAATGAACTCTAATGATAGAAGTTGGATTCGTTTACTTATTCTAATCCCTGTAAACTTACACCACCAACTTTGTATGAGACGAAGAAAAATAGACATATATAATCAATTATATGAGTACTCATTTTCTCGCTGTTAATTCTTTATGATGACTGGAAGGGGTGCACTAATTCGTATGATGAATTTTCTGATGCTAAATGTATCGAGTTTATATTACATCGTTTGATCAAATGGAATTGATTGTGCGTGTGTCTTCCATGCTTAGACAAAATGTTAGCGAATTTCAACCCTAGAAAAGATTGTAAGCATGGAATAAAGTACAAATTCTGCCAAAGGACAGCAATAAGAAAAAGCCATTAGAAGCAAATAATTAAATCATGACATCAAGAGTACTATTTAATGGAAATACTGAATGCTTTGAATTACCACATGTCAGATACATATTAAAGGTAGTCTAATGACTATTTGAAGCTAGTCAGACTCATTGGCTCTCCTTGGCATCATATAACATTAATTAATATACTAGATTATGAAGTGGTGTCCATCAAATATCAACCTTAAATTATTTCAGTCGGGTTTCTGGGTGCTAAACAAAGTTTTAATTTATTTCAAATGGCAGGCGTTATGATAGGTATCATTAGCCCTTTAGTTCCGGCGCCCTGCTTCACAAAAAGGAAGAGGAACACCAAAGTGGCAAAAAACTTCACAGAAAGGAAGATAAACATCAAACTGACAAAACGTCGAGAGGGGGACATAATAATGATTCACAGACGTAAAAGAGACAAACAGACACAAAGGTAGAAAAAGGTGAGGTGAGTACTGTGAAATTATTCGAATATGAAATGCAGTGGGGTCTTAGTAATTTGAAGTGAGAAGTCAACTGCCGAGTAATAGACTTTTTTGCTGTGTGAGTATCCGTTGCCCAGGGTGCACCACGTGGAGGTAAGTCTATCGCAAAGTTGCCCAGGGTGCACCACGTGGAGGTAAGTCTATCGCACGCTGTCCAGGGTGCACCACGTGGAGGTAAGTCTATCGCACACACCCCTCCGCTTCCAAATAAGATGTTGATAGTGAAGGCATATTTCCAGGGTGCACCACGTGGAGGTAAGTCTATCGCACACCCACTTGGCTCTCCCCTCAAATTTCAACCCTACACGGATGGGCGGGCTAAACAAAGTACTCAGACTTATTTCAAAATACACAATGATTGATTAAGATAGACCACCATAGTGTATAGTAGGATTGCTGGGATTAACTGAAATCTTGGTTTGTTTTGAAATTATACAATTTCAACTGTGGTGGAATTGCCTGCCAATATGAGTTAGGGTTTTTTTCTGGGTACTTATCTGTCTTATTCTACTGATATTAATTTAAGTAACAATTATTTCTTCGATTTGACCACTATTCACACTAACATCTTGCAATCGCACTTTACGCAGGCATTGAAAATTGGTGATGGAAAGAGGCCAGTGACGCAAAAATAAGTAAAAAGACTGGATCACACCTCTTTCTTTCACCGCTATTCATGGTTACCTGCCCAGTTAGTCGAGCCTTTGTAAAGTGAATGGACTTTACATTTGAATAAACCTTACTTTTGGTATTAGTATAAATTGTCTGCTGACTTTTCAGTTCCCTGGGAGTAAGTTCCATTTTTTGGGTATTGTGTAAATTTCCGGTGTAGCACCTTTTCGCCCTGTGTTCTGCAGTGATTGCGCAAATTCACACGCCTTTTGGCAAAATTTAGAAGACCGAGAGGAGGCCATTTTCTTCCTTACGGGCTAGCTGCGTATGAAAGGAGACTTTTATGTCAACTCGATTCACAAGAGTTCGAGTAATAGCAGTTACGACTGATCACCACCTCTAAGATTTCTCAAGCCCACTAGAATGCGTGCGCACTGCACTTGTCATGGGCGGAGAGGTGTCTGCTCTTTTGAGAAACGTGAATTCAGTCACCTTTCCCGATGACAAGCATTAAGCAAAACAGTTGGTCATCCACACCATTGAATGTGTACTGATGAGCATTGATCTTGTGACCTCTGACAAAACAGAAACATACTTTCAATGCTCAACAAACACCAACGACAATTCCTTTAATCCCTACACCGTCCAAAAATAAGTTCACGAACACAATTTAAATAGCTGTAGTGACAATATTCCCCTTCGATTTTGTTTCGTTCATTCATTTTCCACCTTCAGACTTTTGATCAATTTACATTCGTTCCCATACCAAACGTATGGATCCACATTTTGTCACTTATCGGCTCACATGTTTTAGCTCTCCACACCTCAATAGCGAAATTCTCCACGTATAAAACGGTTTGTAATTTTTTCTCATCAAATACAAACCCTTATCATAAAACTAACTTTTAACTAATCAAGTGTCTTTTCAGAAACCACCACTCGTCTCTTACACAGGGTTAGCATACTTAACAAGCAAGGCCGGCCATTTACCTTTGCGGGCATCGAAATTATGACCACCATTTTCACATAAGCGTTCACTAACCGATGCATCAATAACAAACAATTAAGATCATAAGAAAATAAAGACCTTCCAATAGAATTCCATTTATTGTACCAAACATATAAAATACCAATATTATGAGTTTCCGTGTTAGTATATACAAATGCGTGAGAATCGAGATTGAATAGCACATTTTAGCAAAACTAAAATGGATAATGAAAAGGATAAAGAAATAGGAATAGAATTTCTAATGGAAGTCAAGAGAAAGCACACCCTACCTTCCATCTATTGCCACAGTTGTTGCAGTACACAAAAGTGGTCATAGGTTCATCAGCACTTCGCGTTTGCACCTAAATTGAAATAGTTGAAAAAATGAAACTATGGGAAATAAAAGGAAAGACATAATATCGAAAACTAACCTGATTATAAGTACAATTCTTCTGCTTGCACTTTCCACAGGTGAGAAGGTCGGACTGCGTACCACTAGTAAGCGCCATTTGGTGGTCGTCAATGGTTTCCTTAATAAATTTTTCTCGAAGCAATTTCATATCCTTGCTCGCCATCTCATCAGAAGTCATACTGGCCAATCGCTCTGGCTTAACATGACCCATAAAAACATTGAGACGCAGATCCGGATTTCTCTCATCATTGAGATTCATTACCCGGGTTCGAATACGTTGCTTATATTTCGATCCGTTATCCTTGAATATATTGAAAATGGCGCTTTCAATCTCCGTTGCTAAGTAGCCTGACTCAAAAGCTCCGGGTGGTGGTGCTGTTAAAGCATAAAGTGGCACTTAGAAACCACGTGAATTAAATTAGGAAGTGGCGGAGATAAAGTTGTACAAAACCACATACGTTTGCTATCGAGGGCCTTTTTGATCATTTCGCGAGCTTTTAGACGAACGACATCATCGGTATCATGAGCTTTAGACACAAAATAACCCTTGTTTTCAGATTCAGGTGGCTTGGAAGTGAACGGGGCGTGATTACTGTTTTGATCATCGTCATCCGGCGGCGGTCTACGAACACGCTTTGGTTCTGAGGGAGCTGATTGCAAAGAATCATCTCCAGATGCAGGTGGGGATCGCTTCCCTCCACTTGTCGGTGTTGAATCTGCGAAAAGGATCAGCTAATTATCAATATGCAATAAAGAACTTTGGTAAAAAACTTTGAAAATCTCACCCGGAACGAGTTTCTTCCACTGCTTTATAAGTTGTTTACCAAGCGTCGTTATCTGAGTGTTGGTGGACTTTTTTCTGAGAGTATTGATAAGAATACCGACACCGGTTTTGGTGAGAATGTCCAAATTCATATCGGTATCTTGTAGACGATGCAAGCATTGCAATGCTAGCTCATCGTTCTAAAAAATAACAACTAACAGATTAAATATAAAAATTACAATTGTATCATTATCAATCATCTTCTGAAGCTTTTTTGCTATCTTTAATGTGACATTCATGACTACGATTCTCAAAGAGTAGATGAAGCGCAAATACTTTAATAGACTAAGGTCACATAGCCCACAATCAATAAAAAGTAATTTAAAACAAAGCGTATTACCCTTCAATTAGCCTATAATCCATGTTGAGAAAGTTCGCACAGTATTCTGATTAATGTACTTTTTTATTTCGGCGTAATGATCAGTTCCCAATATTTTTAAACTAACCCTTTTGAAATTTTGTTTTAAAAACATTATATACAATTATTGCGTTAGCGAACTTCTTAAACATTTTTGCCAATATATCTCAATTTTTATAAGAAAAATCAAAGTTCAATGGAAATTCCTTACATAGCATATCAACAAATAACTTTAGCAGTTTAAGTAGAACTGTAAATATCTACTATCTTTCCGTCGCTTTTAGTTAAATGGAATCGTCATATAATAGCCTCAGAATAGCATGTCTTCTCAGACCTTTTGAGCATTCACAATTGTCAATATATATTGAAAAGTGATTTAAATTTTAATTCAAATTTAAATTTTCTCAGTGAAGATAAAAGTTGTACAAACTTTTGCCACTATGGATAGATAACAATTGAGTGATACTCATTTGGAGAATTCATTTGTATCATGGAAGAAAACTGGACTCTTTTTTATTTTAAAACAACTTATAGAACCAGATTTGGAAGAAAACCTCTCCCTTAATTTACTTTATCCATAGAAAACTGAATAGTAAATGCCTTTTCAAAACCATGATTGCAAATTTTTGATTGGCATGCACAAACTCATATTTTTATCAATGCTACCCCAACAAGCACGAAGGCTACTCGATGTCGCCCATCTTGCAGTATTCTATTACGCTATGGATTAATTAGCTTCTTATCCATATTAAACAAGGTCTCTGGTTAAAAAACTACTACATTCTCCCCTATGTTACCGATAATAATTAAAGTGACGACAGAGTTTTACTTTCGTTTGTTAGGAAGGCCAATCTGATCATTTCGCTGCATTCGAGAAAAATTCGAAACATTCATCTCTGTTGTACTACCATATGGCTTATTTTTTCTTCACTCCCACACCTGAACAGGATAGACCACACAGTCTCACAATTATTAAATAATCATTAATAATCGTATATTCAAGTTGATGGAGGTAAATATTTTATTAATAGAACCGATTTTGTTACCTCTGCCTTGAGTTTTGTAACCCAGACTTAAATGACAACTAAGAAGTTTAGTTAGGGGGACTTTGTTATTTTTCGTAAATAAGGAATAAATTTTTCTAAATTTCTGGTATAGGCAACTGTGAACATTTTAACACACAAAATTATTTATTTTCAGGACCTTAGAGCATTTAGAGGTCCGTCCTTTACCACGCTAACTGATAATCAAAATAGTGTCTACATATTATTTCTGATAAAGACATATGTAATGATTTATTGTTTGATACGTTTTAAATGAAATATCTAAACATTCGATTGATCGGATCAGCTTTCATAATGGTGAATAAAAAAGATAAATAAGTGAGTAACCAGTTAAGCAAATTTATGCTCATAGCATTTATTGCATAGAAAATTGTGAATTTTGCTCACTATCTTGCTGAAATATATTTTTTGCGATTTTCGTGTAGTCTCTACAATTTTAATATTCTCTATCCAACCCTCTCTATTAAATTGTTCTTGCGAATTAAACGATTGCCAATAGTAAATCAGACGCCTTTGGATGTTATCAAGGAATATCTAAGCCTAAACACATTTATAAACCAACGGGATTTACTTAATGGCATGTGAAATAACAGGTGGTTAAGTAGCAACCGATATGCTTCTTCATGTCCTCGTGACATTTGATGGATTTTAGAAAGTTACAATATTATTTGCGGATATAAAGAGCATATTGTGGGTATAAGAGGAGGTGTGCAATGATAAATTATTATGTGAATTACACCTCAAATAATTTGCGAATTTCTATCTACAATTATGCTTTATGATGGAATGATTTGTGGGACACGTCATCGCTTAGTCAACATCACGTTCAAACTTGCGTACGGATTAGGTGCGGCGACCTCACTGACATTAACCAATCAGGGACGCCCATTTGTTTTACCGGATTCGCCATGTTGATAATGACTAAGTTCCTTCCTACACACACGACTGACGTGCTACGTAGTAAATAAACGTATCCCTTCTCGCTCGCCTCTTTCCTCCACAGCTTTGCAATAGCAGCTAGTTTGGGAGGCTCATCGATAGTAGAGATAACTGAGTTCAGTCTAGGCTTATTTGGTGTAGCAGTCCGCTACAAATAGGTGACCCTGACGTGATTGCCAAAGCCTGACTCTAAACACTCAGCAGAGAACCCATCTCTATTGACACGGCGATTTTTCTTTTTCCGCGTTGCTCGACTCACTTGGTGATTTTTTTTTTATCTTCGCACAATCACCAACGACAATACCCTCTTTTCTACTTCACAATGTCAAAGGACACCGAAGTCGTCGATAACACGTTTAGTTCGCCCGCGGGGCCGAAAACAAGTTCCGCTGGTGAGCATCTGAGGTCGTCTTTAACTGTGTTCCGAATGGAAAGAAGGATGATGGAAAGACGTTCTGCCCAGTTAGCGCTAGCTGAAGTCGCGATGACAGCGGACTTAAGTTGTCGGTGGAAACGTTCGACTAAGCCGTTGCTTACCGGATGATAGGCGGTGGTACGTATGTGTGTCGAACCCAAAAGCTGGTTTAACTCCCGAAACAGCGTAGAAGTGAATTGGGGTCCTCTGTCTGTAGTTATAACGGCGGGGACTCCGAAAATGGATATCCACGAATCCACCAAAGCCTTCGCCACCGACGTAGCAGACGTGTTGTGCAAGGGGACTGCGATTGGCCATCGCGTGAAACGGTCGATGCAGGTTAGGATGTGGGTGTAAGAGTTCGAAGGAGGTAAAGGACCCACAATATCGACGTGAATGTGGCGGAAACGGGCTTCAGGGAGAGGAAAAACGGAGGACGAGCTGCGCGAATGTCTTTGGACCTTGCTGGCCTGACATGTGAGGCAATGTTTGGCCCAATGGCGGACATTCTGTTTTATGTTCTTCCAGACGAAACGGTCGGTGATAAGCTTAGTTGTGGAGCGAATGCTCGGATGCGACAGACCGTGGAAATGNACGGGCTGTCCTGTTGTGCTGATTTGATGTTGTACCCCATGTTTGGGATCCGACAACTCCGTTTGTAGGCGAAAAAGCGAGGGGAATTCGGATAAAACATTCGCAAAGGAGTTTGTAGTGGGGGTGACAACATTGAGACCGAAAGTGTTTAGAGCCTCTGTAGAACAAATCACTTTTAGGGAAGTGACGGTATCTTGAAGGGTTTTGTCACGAGGGTTGACTAGCAGCTGAAACTTAGAAAGGAAATCAACGCCGAGGATTGGTCTCCTAACATCGGCAACCAGAAAAATAAAGGGGAATTCTCGGCGGACGCCTAAGTCGAGTTTAAGAAACTTCTGACCGTAGATCGGAATCGTAGAGTTGTTAGCTGCTACAAGGGAATTTCCGGTAGGATAGAGACAACGTTTTTCTAATTTGCGGGGTAGAACGCTGACCTCGGAACCGGTGTCGACCAGGAACCTGATATTCGAATTAATATCAGTGACGTAAAGCAGGCGACTACGAGTGTAGCCAGGGTCAGTCGTCGCCTTCACTGCCTGGCGTAGAATTTTCCCGAAGGGCTACGTGATTTTGTACATTAACCGATTCTAACGTTCCGAGGTTATCTCCTTTTTCCACACATACCTGCTCCTGCTCCCGCCTTTCCAATGTTGTATATTGAATGTTTTCGAGCGTTTACTTCCCTTTTAGGTACCCGCAAACGCTCTAGGGGGGAGTTATGTGGGACACGTCATCGCTTAGTCAACATCACGTTCAAACTTGCGTACGGATTAGGTGCGGCGACCTCACTGACATTAACCAATCAGGGACGCCCATTTGTTTTACCGGATTCGCCATGTTGATAATGACTAAGTTCCTTCCTTCACACACTACTGACGTGCTACGTCGTAAATAAACGTATCCCTTCTCGCTCGCCTCTTTCCTCCACAGCTTTGCAATAGCAGCTAGTTTGGGAGGCTCATCGATAGTAGAGATAACTGAGTTCAGTCTAGGCTTATTTGGTGTAGCAGTCCGCTACAGATTCAAGTTCATTCAGTTCGTATTTGAACTTTATGAAAAAACATGATATTAGTGTTAATATGCCTGAAAATAAATGATTTAATTGAGTTTCTACTAAATTCGGAGCCTTTTTAAAATTTATCCACATTAACATTTAAGTGCTTGATTATTACTAATTAAATTTCGGCCGTTGAAAGCTTTCCAATAGAGGAGTGCTATTTATCAAACTTTTATCTAACATGGATATTGCAAATTTTATTGTAAAAGTGGGCGAATTAACTACGCACTTAAAAATGCAAATAAAAGTTGGCTCTTAAAATAACTTCATCTTGGATACTACAATCAATTGGGCTGTAAGATTGATCGGAATTGAGGTCTGAAGTAAAGATAATATGGTTCCAATAGCGCATTATTTTACTGTGGGTCATACCTCATGTGTTTCTGAGAAAACAATTTTTTTAAACATGTGCCATTTCTGCGTGGAAAAGGCGTACTCGATTATTTTTTGTCCTCACTCTTTTGATTTAATTTTTACCAAGGCAAAAACAAAATACTCTATTTCAAACTGGCTGTGACTCTAGTTTGACCCAAATTTTACTTAAATAGAACGAGGTGAAAACAGCTTTTCATCCCAAGGTTACTTCGTTCTTAACGCAACTAGAACGCAATAACTAGAATCTTTATCATAAGTTAAAATTCAACATTGACTGATAGTCTATACGAATATTTGAAATAGGCAGTTATTCAAAATTGGACGCAAAATAGACATTTTTTGATGCTTAATTTATTTAGTCTCTGGGCATTTATACTGCATACCATGATGGTAATCTCACTGATGAGAGTATAGTAGGTGTAAACTAGGCATAGGAT